GGGGCGGGGGCGGGGCTCTGGCAGTTTTTCCCCCCCCCCCGGCGTCCCGATATTTCATCTTTGGTATCTGGTCACCCTACCACTAGGTTGACGAAAGAATTTTTTCGTCAAACTAACTACCGCCTCTGGGAGAGGTGGATTTACTACAGTGATGGAAGAACCCCTTTCTTGTTGCAGTAGGTGTCTGCACCAGAGTGGCACAGCTGTGACACTGTAGCATTTTTAGTGTAACCATAACCTAAAAAATATTTTACTATTAGGGTATGTCTACTCTTAAACTGCTACAGTGGCACAGCTGTCATAGTGTAGACACTACCAACGCCAACGGGAGGGGTTCTCCTGTCACTGTTGGTAATCCACCTCCCTGAGAAGCGGTAGTTAAGTTGACATCTGTTGTGCTAGCACGGTGAACAATGGGGGTAGGTTGGCATAGCTACGTCTTTCACGGAGTGTGGATTTTTCACACTCCCAAGAGATGTAGCTATGCCACTGTATGTTCCCAGTGTAGACCAGCCCTTAGAAGTAAAAGGGCTGCAGTGTCTTCAACTACAGTGGAACATACTTGTAGCAAAGTCAATTTGCCATATCAAAACGTAAGGCCCACCCGTGTGCATGACTGTCACACCCTTCCTACACTATACATTTCCTGTTTGACAGTTTGAGGGTAAGAGAATTACAATGTGAAAAAATACATAATATAATAGACATAAAAATGTTAGTTACTGACAGTAAAGATTGAACAAAGACACACTCCACCAACTCAAAAACTTGGAAAGCATGGAAATAAAAAGTTAAGGGAAGAGTTGTCTGTAGTCCTTACTGCTTTCACATCCCCTACTGTGTCTTTCACTTCCATCTGCAACAGATCTCAGCTTCACTGATCTTGCACCGTAAAGCAAAAGCTTATCGGTGACTTCTGATGCTCTTGTATCAAGAGAGGGGTACATGTGAGGAGATTATTTTGCAGCTTTTATGATGGATTTCAGTGGAATTTGATTAGTACAAGCAGCTCTTTAAAGAGGGGAGCACCGATACAGCAAAAAACAATGGCGAGAGAGGTGCCTACTAGGACTAGTGGTAAAGACAGGGCTTGTTTATACCTCTCTGCAGGACTACTGGTTGTGAATAGTAGCGTGCTCCAAAGTGCTGCACTGTTACTTCCTGGTGTGGGTGCTGCGGACACGAATTAAAAGGTTCCTAGTTCAAATTAAGTTAGTCTTCTGCAAACAGGGCTACCGTAATGCAAAACAGGAGCCTTTTAGTTTGTGCCAACAGCATCCACTCAGGGGAGTGACAGAATAACATTTTGGTACACGCTCCTGTAACCTGAACTGTGGGGCAGTGTAGACATAGCCTCAGATTAATGTTTGCTGCATTTGGGAATAAGTGATCTTGAGTTAGTCCTCACAGCTGTGGCTGGTCCTCCAAATAATCACATGAATGGATGCTGTTAACGCTGGCTGAATAACTGACTATTTGGGTCAGGGGCAGGTCTGAAAAATTAAAGAGAAATCACATTGGGTCAACCCAAAAGGAAACTGTTTCACAATTTTCAGTGAACTGAAATGTTGAAAAAATTTTCATTTTCATTTCAAGTTTTTTTTTTTCAACATTTAAAAACAGACTAAATAAA